GCATTCATGGGCCGCCATACAATTTCCATACCCAGATGCAGCCCTCAGGCCAAAAAGTTTGTCCACCTCTGTGCTAGAGTCTCAGAGGAGAAGAATCTCATCCCCCTTACAGACAATTTAACTGGCTAATTGAGGATTCCCCCTGCATTATTACAATAGCAAACAATCGCAGTGAGGATCTGGGTCCCATTACGCTATGTGCTATATGAACATACTACAAACGTAGTCCCTGATCCCACATCGGAATCAGATAGTACAGTCCCCTGCGTCCGTACAGTATCATCAACTACAACTCTCCAAGAGCACAGTTCTGACCAACTAGGTTTTAAATTAAGAGTCATTTTTCCTGTTTGGATACTTGTAAGAACAAAAAAGAAAAATTCTTTGATTATTCTCCTGAATTTCTTCCCTTCTCAGAATGTACTCACCCATCTAGCACATGTAAAAACCTTCTTTAGGAGCACTGTTTGTCACTATCACATTTCAGTCCTGGCCTTTCCTAGCTCATCTTGATCCGTACTTTCTTGGTGCTACAATGTGTTATCAATTACCCTACAATAAACACGCAGACAACTGTTCCATCCCCAGACCCCCCCCCCAAAAATCTCCATGGGTATGAAACAACATAGAAATCAACCATTTTCCCTTTAGCCAAAAATAGATACAGCACTCAACTAACTCTAGGAAAATGAAGTGCAAAAGGGGAAGATGACCCTCTTTACCTCTAGGACTTGTTTTTGCCTATTTAATTAGACACTTCTATTACGCCCATTGCTACAATATCTGTAGCAGCTCTAATACCATTACATTAATGAGCCTTTGCATATAGTTATGTGCCTACATGATCAGCAACAAGCCCACTGCCCTCCCATGGTTTGGAAGACTGTAAAATACCACCACTGACCTGACAAAGTGAATCAAGGGCTGAGTAAGTGTGTGTTTCTAGTCACACTTATCTCTTCCATACCTGCCATCTCAACCACTGAGAAGAAGTCACTAGTCATCTAAAACATAGGTGGAAAGTCCCCACTTTTCTCTGCAACTTCATGCCTTTAAACTGCTGCAGGATCTAACTTAGACCAGGTTAAAAACTCAACACTACAGAAATCTCATGTCCTCTCTGTTTTCCCTAGTGACTCCTCACAAGATATTTGCTAGTCACATTTAGTGCTAACAGTACAGATTCCATGATGCACATGAGGGAGGCACAGGTACGCAAGGATGAGGCTGCGCTTGCCCTCACAGTAATGGAGAGAAGATGCAGCTGGGCAGATTGGATCCTGGTTTCAGAATCCCCTTCTGCTGGAAGGCACTTTCTGGCCAGGGACCAGGCTGATGTCCCAGATGTGAAGCCCAGCATAGTTTGGTTTGGGCCTTGGTTTTCTCCTCAGACTGTCACTGGCTTTCTGAGGAGTCTCGTTGTGTGTCGTGAACAGTAGGACAACTTCTTTGTATCACATTCACCGTCCTTCAGTGAAATCACTGCACATTTCTCCTCTTCGCATGGGATCAGGATGGAAGCCGCCTTTCACTACCTCTGAGCAGACAGCATCAATAGTTTAGGTCCATGGGATTGTGCATCCATGTCCCAGTCTCACCCTCATTTATTTCATCTTTGGGTGCAGAAATGCGAGAAAGCGCTTACTCTCTCACTGTCTGTACATCGTACTTGCCAATGGTAGACCCAGAAATGCTCACAATGTGCAACAGCCTCTCTGTGTCCAGGGATCACTAACAGTAGGGGCTAACTGGGAAAGTCAGAGCAATGTAATAATAATACTGAGCATTCATATCCTGGTGCCATGTACATACCAGAGGCTTACGCCATGTGATCTGATACAGGACAGTAAAAGTTGCTTCTGTGGAATTCTGTTGTGTCTGTTCCCAAACCTCAACAGGTGAAAAGGGTATTTTACAGGGATGAGGAAATGTACACTTAGAAGGGGGGAGAATATTAAAAATCGTAACTTTTCTAAACTGAACTTTCACCTGAAAAATCCCCTTGTTTCCCTGTGTGGCCCCTCTGCTCAACAGCTGGTGACCATGGAAGGATGTGGGATTTTCCTGCTGCCTGTGGTGAACCGTACTTTTAGCAGAAAAAATCAAACAAGCAGCTGACTGGCTTGCAGTTTGCTTCTCTTTCAAGCCTTGCATTGTTCTGTATAAAACAGTAATCTTGGAAAACAGAGTGTGGCTTAGGGACTGCCCAAATGGTTTGATAAATACTAGCTTGAGGCAAACACTTCTCTCCGTGGTTCTTTTAAAAAAAAAATTAATTAATTCATTTACCTACACTATTTCATTACACTGATGTAGAAGTTACAACCTGCTGCTGAATTCAGCATGGCTCATGCTAGAGAAAGGGTGGTGTCTTACTGCGTAGATTAGGTGTGGTGCACTTTGGAATATATATGGCCACACTACTCAAAGAGGTTTCAGAGTAGCAGCCGTGTTAGTCTGTATTCGCAAAAAGAAAAGGAGGACTTGTGGCACCTTAGAGACTAACCAATTTATTTGAGCATAAGCTTTCATGAGCTACAGCTCACTTCATCGGATGAGCGAGATCAAGGGGCAATAAAATGGCTGCTGGAGCACCATAGCATGCCGTCTTACAAATGGATTGAAACTGATCTGACAGTCTGAAAGGAGTATACCTAATTTTAGTTTATGGTAGACTGCAGAATCAAACTACTTAACTTTAAAACTGAATTTCAAGAGTTTGTTTGTTGCTGTCTGTACTAACACTACAGTATGTAAATCTCACTAGTGGTGTCTTCTTTTAAAAAGAAAGACTCAAACTGCAGCATAAGAACATTTGACAAGGATTGTCACTTACTTTAGACTATTAGCAGTAGCATTAATTCTTTGTATTATCAGAGCTCCAAGGAACCCCAATCATGGACCAGGACCACACTGCGCTAATAGTCCCTGCCCCAAAGAGTTTATAATTTAAGTATACGACAAGAGACAGCAGATGGCTACAGACAGATGGGAATACAGGAAAACAATTAGACTAATCTTATACAAACTCTAGTTAAGATCCCAGAGACACCCTGAAAGATTGTTTTTTTTCTGAGATGCACATAAATGGTGTGTGCGCGTGTGACAGTACATGTCTAATGTGTACATGCAATTCCCAGCACTGCCCGTAAAAATCAGGCTGCTGAATGCATTTATGGCTGAAGAGATGTTTAACTGGCCATATGAAGGGTGAAGTACTGGCTCTCTATAACGCTACACAGAAACCGGCTTCACAACGTCTCGACACACTTGTTCCCATGCACTCCTCTTGTCTGCACCAGCTTGTAACTGGCACTAGACTCGGCGCCTTCAGCACCTTCCCATGCCCAGCATGGCCCCTACACCACGGGGTGAGGCAGGAGGGGCTGGCGTAGGGACAACTATTCAGATTTTATACCAGCATAAAATTTCCTTGGACTTGGGGAATCCTCAGCTGTCCATTGAGGGCAGATTTAAATCCCTTTACGCTGATCTAGTCGCTCAAAGGGACTTTTTCAGGGAGAGGATTTGACCCCAAATGTTTTCAGTTTTTGAAGGTTTTTTTCTCCATGCAAAGGAAGGTTCAGCTAAAAAGCTGCACAAGTTTAAAACTGAATGAATATATTTAGAGTTGGATTTTCAAAAGTGCTCGACATTGATCTAACCTTGCTCCAGTCTGAACAGAGCTAAGCGCTCTGAAGATCCACTCCTAAGCGCTAAGTGAGTCTCTGGGATAATTGCTTCTTAAAAGGGAATGCTCTGTATTAAGTGCTATATGCAATGGGAGCGTGTATGCTATATTTTTATTAAACAAAGCACAAAGTTTTAGAGCTATGTGGATCTCAGCAGTTTGCCCAGGTTCTTCTCAACATTCTCTTGGTTTTGATCCATATGGATTTTCACAGTTGAGTTTTGCTTTGAGTTTCTGATTTGAATAAAGCAAATCTTTGCCAAAACCACATGACTCCAAAACCCCATGGAACCATGAATTTGGCACTCTTTTGAGATGGAAGCTGTAAATTGTGCCCAGGTTCACTTGAAACGGTCACAGGCTTTTCAGTTATGAAACACAGAAAAACTTCCAGCAAACAAGGTCAGAAGTTTGAGTTCCTAAGGAAGTGAAAACCATGTGAGTTTTGCCTTGTTTGGAGTTTTTGCACAGCTCTAGTATTTTTCTTTAGCCTGAGTATTCCTCAGATATACACATACTGCATGGCTAGACAAAAGGAACAAGCCTACACATTCTTTAAGTAATTCTGGTTTTCTACTTTACAAGTTTCAGTGAAAATGGGATTTAGCTCCATCTTGCTAGTTCTAATACAGCCTATGCCCTATTAACGAAGGTCACATCTCCGATTGGTGGTACTCAGCCTTGATGGCTTTACATGCCACAATTACAAGATAAAGATATGCATCTTTTAATTGAAAAGTAGAAAACCACAAAGTATGTTATAAATCACACACTAGCTAAGAGCAGCAAATGTCTTGTTAAAAAGCCACATGTGACTCTGAGCTGCCAAGCATTAAATCTTTTGCATATGTTTTTTCTTAACAGACCAAATGAAACTTTTAGAAAACACAGAAGTGTGGAAAATTATTTCAGGTTTCAAAATAGACACAGGCATAAAGAAAACACATATTTGTGAAGAAGATAAAAAGATCAGAGAGTAAGGAAGGAAAACAATGCAGAATCCACACCTGGGTAAGCCAGAGATGTGAAGGTACAGCTAAGTTAAGGAGGGAGGGGGGCAGTGTCTACAAGCCAAACCTGAAGTCAAGTAAGTGGGGAGCAGATTCTAACACCACACATAAATGAATAAGCTCATCACCATCATTGCACAGCCAGCAAAACAATGGCAGCCTAATCTCATTGAATTGAATTGCCGTTATTCATAGATAAAAAAGGCTAAACTGACCTAGGCTTTAATCAGGATTTTGAACTTCAGCTGAGCTCAGAAGGGAACCATAATAAAAGGAAGCACACATCAGACATATCTGACCTGTCATAGAGTTTTCAGATGTACACAGTTGCTCTCTCAGCTTTTCCACATCGTCTGGATGAACCTGCTCATAGAGCGTGCTGCCAAACCACTCTGACTGTGGCTGGTTCAGCACTGGAGTAACGGAATCCGATACGTAGATGACTCTCCCGGTCTCAGCTGCAACTACAAACAGGAACCCATCTGCAGCCTCAAGGATAAGATGTTTCAGTTCCTTGCAAAGACAGGATTTAATTAGAAGGCCACCAAGAAGAGAGAATTAAAGAATACATCTATCACCCTCAACTCAACACTTTTTTGTGATTTGAATGGCTGGTCAAATAATAAGTGAACCACATTTTCAATGTGGTACTGATATAACAATGCATCCTATTTTGCAATGAAACAAAAATTGTTAATCTTAGTAACTACAACAACATCTTTTATCTGATGAGCTCAATGCAGTTTAGAAAAATTAACTAAGCCCCGTAACTCCCCTCTGAAGTGGGTATCATAAAGAAAGGCACAGACAAGGGAAATGACATGCTAAAGATAACACAGCAATTCCATCCTTATTGAAATGTTCTATAGGATTTAACAGAGATTAAAATCAACAGGATTCTTTTGAAGTGTAATATGATCTTTTAGCTATTATTCAAATCTGTAAAATCTCATAAGGAATGATATTCTTTTAATAGTTTTTTTTAAACTTTCCAATAGAAATCTATAGCAAAGACATAATAAAAAAAAAATTATTGAAAGATTATTAATCTCTATTAAATTCTGTAGAACTTTTCCACATAGGAAAGGAGGGTCACTACTGACGTTTTCCATTCCCTGAATCATTTGAATGCTAAGGGCCAGTTTCCAAACAGCCTCTTTTTATGCACAGATCTCAGTGTTCCTGTTAAAGAGCACCTACCTTTTTTGTGTGCATAATGCTCACTGTTGCATGCACAACCTGGGCCATTAGTCACCCAACAGCTTGACCGGTGTGCGCAATTTGTTCTTTGCACGTATCAAAAAAAAAAATGTGTAGCAATTTTGGTGGAAGCAATCAGTTGTGCAAAAATGGTTGATGAGGAGTGAAAAACATGGCCCTATCTTTTATTTCTGTTTACTCAGACTCCCTTCTTAACACCCACCCAAATCTGTTGCAACTGAAACATGTATAGCAACAAACGAGATTTCTCAAGCCAGTCTTTTTCACTGTCCACTTTATTGTTTTGATTAAATATTTTAGTCTCTTAAATAAGGATCTCTGGGTGCTGCTGCTTCAAACTTTTGCGACTATTACCGTGGAGACAGGTGCCTAAACAATGCACGTCTGTGCTAGATCCTGCTGCCCACCCACTGTACATCTCACATTTAATATCACACATTGACCTACAATGGAGCCTTAGATAGCAAGATACAGTTTAGGGACATTCCAAGCTCCATTGTGGGTTGGAGTGCACAAAATTGAACAGAAGGTGGATGGTACTGGGTGATAAGGAAGAGATCTTAGTCTGGTAAACTGATACCATTGCCTTAAAGAGCTGTAACTGCTATCAGAAATACTGCTAATAAATTACATGCTTCTGCTGACATGTATCTTATTTTTCACCACAGTGTCAGTGTATCCATTTCTGAAACACAACTAAAAACAGGATGATTTTGTTAAAATGACCCACCTGCCTCTATATTAGCTGCAACTTCTGAAGGATTTATGACCCCATTTTAAATCCAATATTAACACAGTTGGAAATAGAAAAAAATGTGTGAGCCATTCTGTAAGTCTCAAAATAAAAAATAAAAAATGATACAATGAAAAGTGACTAGTGTGCCCTAGAGAAGAGTAACTAGGTGGGTGAGGTGATATATTTTATTGGACCAACTTCTGTTGGTGAGAGAGACAAGCTTTCAAGCTTACACAGAGGTAAGACGACGAGTCAAGTGACAACATTTGCTGTCCCCCAGAAGCAAATTTAGAGAGATAAAAGTGTGACATTTCACTCCATATTCTTTATGAAAATATGCTTATGATAAGAATAAGACACAACTGAGATGTACCTTATGCAAGATGGGTCTTGTAAGGTATCATTGGAAAGGTTATAATTTACAGAATGTGATTATCCAATGTGTATGCCTGTATCATTTCTGTATCTGAAGTTAGGAATATTGACTATGTATCTGTATTTCAGTTATGCTACTTTGGGTCATGCCCACTGCTAACGCTTCAGGTACAACAATGGAAAAGCCAGACAGGGCGGATGGCCCATCAGCGAGGACAATGGACTGTGAAAAGGCTTGGCTTTCCTGCAGGGCTCCATATTGCCACTGACTCATGGATGCTGTGATACTACAGGTTTCAGAGTAGCAGCCGTGTTAGTCTGTATTCGCAAAAAGAAAAGGAGGACTTGTGGCATCTTAGAGACTAACACATTTATTTGAGCATAAGCTTTCATGAGCTAATGCATCCGATGAAGTGAGCTGTAGCTCACAAAAGCTTATGCTCAAATAAATGTGTTAGTCTCTAAGGTGCCACAAGTCCTCCTTTTCTTTTTGTGATACTACAGAGTTAGGTGGTCTTGTCACCTGATACTAAACATTACCTGGGAGTTCTTGTAAATTTCCACTGGAAGGGAGGGGGTGAGGGGGTCAAGTTTGGGAAACAAAGGATTCCCACCTTATGAAAATCCTATTTAAGGGTGGGGAGGAAAGCAAACGGGACTCCTCTCCATGGCCTGTCTGCCCAAGAAGAAAGACTGCTAAAGCCAATTGAAGGGAAGGCCAGGGTGGAGTCCAGACTGAGACAGGGGTCCAGTCTGAAAAGAAATATAACTGGAACTCTGAACCACAAACTTTGTAACCTGCCTAAAAGAACATTTAGGGTGAGAATTTACATTTTGTAACCTGTTTAAGTATATTGAGCTTAGCTTGCGTATTTTGCTTTACTTGGTCAGTAATCTGCTTTATTCTGTTACCTCTTATATTCACTTAAAATTCACCTTTTGTAGTTAATAAACTTATTGCTTCTTTATGATATAACCCAGTTTATGTAATTTCTTACGGGGGGGGGGGGAGAATATCTCCCTCCACATTGAGGGAGGGAGAGAATTGCATAAAACCTTTGGGTTTGTCCCCCTTAAAGGGAGTGGGCACCAGAGTGTTGGGGCAAGCCCTTAAGGCTGAATCTTTCCAGAGCAGATCTCTGTCTCTCTGTCCAGCTGGGTGTGGCCCTGCCTGTGTGCTTGCCTGGAAGAGGCTTGTGAACGTAACCCAGTAAGACCAGGTAAAGGGGACTCAGGCTGGCAGAACAGGCTGTCTCAGTGGCACCCCAGCACATCAGGTGACACCCCAAAGGGGCCAAACCCATCACAAAAAGTACACAGAGATATGAGCATTGCAAGCTCAGCAGCTGCTGGTATTTGTCTAACAGAAATATGCATTGCTTCAAGCCATTCTTTACATATGTAAGAACTTTACTGTTAAGAGCAAAAGTGTGTCAGTTACAGCCCTCTGGGTTCAAAAGTACCAGCAGGCATGAGGACTTTCCAGTGGATAAGACTGAACCTGGGCTCCCTTGAAATACCAGTTACATCTTCTTCCCTATAGCCAAAAGAAAACTAAAGAGGAGTTTCATAAGTTCAGATCCAAGCTCTCCAGTTCTGAGTTTTTACAGTTGGGGGCTACCATATAGTTCAGATCCAAATCTGAATTTTCTCTAAATCTGTCTGTGTTCACACCTGGGATTGTGTGCGTCTCATTAATGAAGCAAGGAAAACAATGTGAAGAACCTACTGACCTCTCTATCCCACCTCTCAAAATAATAGGATTATTTAGTCCGGAAGAAATAACATTTATGAAGCAACTACCTGTTCCGTTAGGAAAGAAGGCTTATATGCCCCGTCAGTAGATTTATTTCCAGTGCCCCTCATAGACTTCATGTGCGAAACAGCCATACGCAGAATTGTCAGCTTGTCAGGTTTACGGGCCAATGCACTGCAGGTGGGCACCATGTCCGACAGCTCAGTGATATACTGTGTCATCTTATTTCTCCTGCGTCTTTCAATTTCACTGTGATTCTCCCTAAACATTTAAAGAAAGATCAAGCCAACAGAAAAAGCAAAGACAAGATCAGTATAGGAATTTTCATTTGGTATTATAAATAAATAATAAATAATAATAATACTTTGCACTTGTGTAGCATCTTTCATCTAAGGTGATCAAAGCGCTTTACAGATGTAAGCATTATTATCCCCCATTTTACAGGTGGGAAAACTGAGGCACGTGATAGTTAAATATGACTTGCCCAAGGTCACACAGTGAGTCAGTGGCAGAGCAGAGAAAAGAATCCTGATTTCTGAACTGCCAGTTCCTGGCTCTAATCCCCTAGAAATTCTACCTCAGTTGGTTTAGAGCACCAGACAGAAAAAGGAACGTGAGGTGCTGAGGGCTGTCAACTCCGGGGGAAGTCCCACCTTTCAAGAGATGTTCTGTACCTCATAGCATAAGGGCCTTAGTGAGGTGTTCCTTGTATTAATATAGATCCTGATCCAGCTCCTGATTAAATCAATGGGAGCCCCTCAATGGACTTCAGGTTCACAGTAAGCAACAGCTCTGACTAAAATTTTGTAATGGCGATATAGACCACAATCTTGTAATCCTATGCAGCAGATCTCAACCTCTATGCTGCCGCCCGCTCCTAAGACCTCAGTAAGGTTATGTATGGATGCAGGGATCAGACTGCAAGATTGGGACCATATTTTGTATAACAAGTAAATACAATATCTAAACCAAATATTAAAGGTAAAGTAGGTCCTGACTTGCCAGACACTGAACAGGTAATTATATAAAAGAGAAAATAACTATGACAATAGTCAACCCTAATACAGTGCTTATTATCTTCAATGAGACTTACACAGATACCTAGAGCATCTTCACAATAACCCTGTTTCACAGAGGTTAAATAACTTGACTATAGCTACAAAGGAAGTCTGAGGAAGCCAAAGAAAGCTAGAGCTGCGATTAGAACTCCGGAGTTCCTGAATACTAATACTGTGCTCAAAAAACATTCAAAAGAAAACATTATCAGAAGCTTTGGTTTTACTTTGTCTTCCATGCGTGACAACATTTATAATTATAAAAGGCCACATCTTAAAGTTTTTACTCAGTCAAAACTATCATTAAAGTTCTTCGGAATTTTACCGGATAAATAATTGAGTTAACAATTGTGTAAAGACTTCAGGATTTAGGGTGTGATTTTCAAAGATGTCTAACAGAGTTAGATGTATAATTTCCATTCTTTGAAAACCCCAGCCTTAGCCTACAGACATTAATTTTCATGGCAAAACACTGTACTCAGTCCACCTATCAAATTAGGAAAAACAAGTATCCAGTAAATTAAATTTTTTCCCTCCACTTCACACTTCCCCATACCCTACAACAAAGAGGATCACTGACTCATTTAAATTTTATTTCCAAAGTTCTCAGCACATAACAATAAATATATTACTGATTTGGCCAGTTGCATTTCAGGGTTTTTCAATTACCAGCTGTCAATGCTGTATATAAATTAGGATCTGTGGGCCAGATCCTAAGCTAGTGCAAATCAAATAGCTTTATCTAAGTCAATGGAGTTGAACCAATTTACATCAGCTGAGGAACTAACCTACTGAACCCAGAAAACTACACTGCATCATAGAGGTGCATTTCTTTATTTTCTGACATGGCACCAGCATACTGTACCTGTAAAGCAGTAGCTACCTACAAGCATGCCCAGGACAGGTGTTTGCTACTTCAGATGTCAAAGCAGCTTCTTCCACTGATTTCAATGAGCTGTGTATGGAGTTTTCTTGAGGGATAACTGATTGATCCAACAAGATGTGAAATTGCAGATTACCACATGGAGAATCCAGTAATGTTGACAGGTACAACATGCAGTATTGGAAGAGATTAATTTATTCTGATTTAGCATAACTCAGTGCTGAATAATAAAGGAGTGACTCGTGGAAGTGGACTAAGCAAAGATCAGAGTACTTTTCACCCACTTTTCACAACTAAGCTTTTTTTTAAATTTAGGGTCGGGATCCCAGTTGCAATACGCGTCTCTTTGAAATACTCTAGCAAATGAGCAAGATCATAGAACACCTAGAAGAGTAGGAGTGCATTGGCTTGTGTTGCTTTAGAAGATGCATCATATGTGCAGGGTATCATATGTAGGTATTACATGTTGGAGTCACTGTAACAGAATCAACACATTTTAGAATTCTGTCTCCACATTCACAATTCCCACTGATATCAATAAGGACCTTATAAGTCAGGCTACGTTTCAGTCACGGGTATTTTTAGGAAAAGTCATGGACAGGTCACAGGCAGTAAACAAAAATTGACGGCCCGGGACCTGTCCATGACTTGTACTATATACCCCTAAACAAAACTTGGGCCGGGGAGCTGCAGGTGCTCTGGCGGGTTGGCCCAGGACCCCCGCTGGTGCTGTGGGGGAGGCGGGCGGCAGCGCACGGCCTGGGACGCCTGCTGGTTTGGGGGGGCGGAGGGGGAGTGGACTGCAGCGCGCAGCCCAGGACCCCTGTTGGTGCTGGGGGGAGGGTTGGTGGGGCTCGCAGACTCCCTACCGGCTCCACATGTCCCTGAAGCTCCTAGAGGGGGCTCTGCACGCTGCTCCCACCACAAGTGCCAGCTCCACAGCTCCCATTGGCCGGGAACCACAGCCAATGGGAGCTTCAGGGGCAGCACCTGCGGGCGCTGGCAGTGCGCAGAGCCCTCTGGTCCCTCTGCTTAGGTGCTGCAGGGACATGCTGGTGGGAGCTGGAGACCCCTCCCTCCCCCACCCCGGTAAGCGCCGCCCCATACCTCCACCTCCTGCCCCAACCACCTCCCACACACCCAAACTGCTGCTGCTGGCCTGAGCCACAGGCCACTGCAGAAGTCACGAAAGTCACGGAATCCATGAGTTCCATGACAGGCACGCAGCCTTACTTAGGAGTAAAGCATCAATGAGTATACAATTCAAACAAGTGTATTGCAATGTCAGCCCTTAATGGTTCAACAAATTACAACCTCTCTCTTTTGTTAAGGTTACTGTATACTTTATTTATCACATTCTTCCTAATGAAGGACCTGTTTCAGATTCTCAACTCTCTGTGAGTGACATGGCGTAGCCATGTTGATCCCAGGATAATAGAGAGAGATTAGATATGAGAGCTCTGTGTAAACTCAAAAGCTTGTCTCTCTGACCAACAGAAGTTGGTCCAATAAAAGATATTACCTCACCCACCTGGTGTCTCTAATATCCTGGGACCGACATTGCTACAACCACACTGCATAGTTAAAAACAATCCCATACAGAGTAACCAACGGACAACAGGACCGTTGCTGCATGAAAACAGTGACAAAATCCAACATTCCATGTTATTTATTATTTTAAAACTTTAAAATTATTACATTAATCCATAGGTCAGTAAAGGGCCTGCCAAAGAAATAAATCTGACACTGACCTGGAACTCACTAAAGTTGAGCTTAGTAGATAACAAGAGGGACCACAGATCCTGGCAACTTCATGAACAAGTTTAGAAGATGGGAGTCCTGGATTTAGAATTCCTAACTGGTTTTTAAAGAATGTTTTTGAGGGTATTAAAATCTGGCCATAAGGGGCTGATCCAAAGTCCCCAAGGTCAATAGTAGGTGGGAAGTCTCCTATTGACTTTAATGGGCTTTGGATCAGGCTCTAGATAAGTGAACCTTACCGATTTGTGATCAGTCGGAATGTTATCATATAAAATAAAAGAGGCAAAACGTATGTGATTTTCCTTGTTCCTACCTGGCCATCCTCCCTGAATCAGCAGTACTTTGATATTCTTCCCACCTGGAAACAAAATAACCAGCTCTCTAAGCTAAGGCACACAGACTGAGAATTTTTGGATACGACTATCCCCCTTCTTTTCTCTCAGCAGAGGATCTCTACAGAACACGCCTACCTTGCAAATTTTTCCTTATCACCAGAGATTTGATCATCATCATACCTGTAAACAAAATACGGTAAGTAAATTCAAAAGGCTTATGCAAAACTAGAAAGTCAATACAAAGCAGAAGGTGAAGACAACACTTGCAATTGCAAACTACTACAAATTACACCAAGAGAAGCATGATAGTATGGGAATGATGGAACGGAAAGGAAAAGGGGACTCTGGTGAAACTTTCTGAATGACCAGGAACCAGTTGTTAAAAACTCTCTTTGTGTATTAATATGAAAAAGGTCAAAATACGACCCACTGGTTTCACTTAAAATATTAGAGCCTTTTTGTATATTGCTTGAGGAAGTTGTACAAAGTGCCATTAGTCTGTTACTAATAGTAACCCATGAAATATTCCTGGCTGCACAGCTGTAGTAGGGACATCTTCAGCAGGCTGCATCCACTAGCTATGGCACTCAGTAGAGGGCAGTGATGACATATAAATTGTGGAAAGACAGAGACATCCAAACACAGTTCATTATTTTATGGACACCTTTGTAAAAAGGTTTAATACAGACACTGTACACTCCACCAAATATTCTTTATGAGATTCTGGGCCAGATCATCAGCTGGCGTAAGTCAGTATATCTCCACTCAAGCCAATGGCGATCTGCCTCTCTGTATTAGAAATAACATACTGTGTTTGGTGCAAGTGTCTGTCTTTCACAAGGCATAGGTATCACCAATGACGTCTTCTGGATTGAATGTCAGACCTACTTCCTTGTGCATAGATCTCAGAAGGCTAAATATTATTACACCTGAGCCGATACTAACCTCCCTAGAGCGTGTATAATTTGTTGCATTCTAGTTGTTGCAGCCTACAGAGGACAGAAGCCTAAAACCTACTATACAAGCAGGAGTATTCATGGGTTACCACCGTGATTAATCAATCATACATAAATAGGAATCTTTTCTGTTTATTGCCTGAGCAATTTAAAAGTGCAAACCTTCTTTTCAGTTAATCCTATTCAAAGATTATTATATAAAAAGAGAATACTTCACTAATAAAATGTTGTTAATATGCTACAATGCTCTGTACACTTGCAAAGTTAACTTTCCACATAGACCCAAATATGTACATGCCAAAAAAAAAAAAAAAGTTGTAAGAAAGAAAAATAACAGTTTAAAGTGGGTTGCATAAGATATCCTCCCAACTCCCACAGCCCTTTTAATTTTCTAGGCAAATGAAGGCGTTAACACATGTGTCAGTGCATATCTATGTGCTTTCTATTCTGTTCCAGATGTAGCAAAGTTGCCTTCCACATCTGGTGCCCTTCTCATGCCCTCCAATAAAGTGGAATTCTGCTTTTGCATCAGAAGCAATAGCAAAAAAGTGTAGTGTCTTTCTCCACAGAGGTGGTGGTTAATGATCATGTGTGTAGCTATGACCCCTTGCTAAGGTCACTAGAAACTTCCCCTGCCTCCCAAAATCTGGTTATACTCATGAGTTATACACACAGGGCCAGCTCTTCAGTTGGTGTAAATGCACCAGTGTTATGTACAGTGCCTATTTTTTAAAAAAAAAAAAAAAAAGATCTGGACAGATAAACTGAGGGTTGTATAGAGAAATAAAGCAAAACTGTATAGACGCCTACTAGGTGTGAGAGTTCTTAAAACAAGTATAGAGTTATGCTCAAGTGTCAAATACAGGCAATAAAACTTCTTATTTTCTCTTATATGAAAGGACTGAAATATGGTCAATCAGGTAGCAGGAATTTATAATAAATCACATCATGTTATGTATTATAAATTAAATTAGACTAAATATTTTGAGTGACATCCCAATGCAGCTGAAGTCAATGGGAGTTTCACTTCTGTCTTAAATGGAGCTAGGACTTCATCCTTTTTGTAGTGTTCTCCAAATAGCAGTCAGGGGCATGCAACATTACTTATAAATGTTACCTTTTTTCTCTCTCTCTTTTCTAAATATATATTCATCATTTGGAATCAGTATTTCCTAATGCGGACACGAAATAAAACAATATCTAAAAGAAGATCCTACTGTTGGAAATAAATCAAAATACCTGGTCCCAATTAATGTTTATTTTTTGAAAAGTTGAGACAAATAAACGAAAAACTATGGGTTGTGAAGAACTCAATAATAGCGCTAAATGCTTTTCTGAAAATAAAGAGCATTAGTTCTCAAGAAAAGCCATTTGATTTTCTATATTATAATTGCTGCTTTACCACGATAAGTACAAAGGCTCCACAGCTTATTTACTAGTGTCTTTAATCCTTTAAAGCTTTCATGGGAAGTACAGTATAAATAACAATCTTTTCTTTCTTTTTTTTTGAAAACTTAAAGGGTCACCATTAACTTGATTTTTTTTTTTAAAGTGAGTTAAAAGTACTTGTAGGTAATAAATTTTCTCATGAGCCCTCCAGTGAGTTTTTTTCAGTCTTACAGTCACATTTCCTTTTTCAGGGAGTCATATTTAAATCCTCAAAATAGAGCTCAAGTAGGACTGAACTGGTGCGTTTTGCCTTAAGCCTTTCATCCTGTAGTCGCCATTCACGCCAATAATCTCAGGATCAGGCCCTTATTTTGTACTGACTACAGGATAAAATGCTACTTCCTCTATTTTACTTTGCCTTCTGGGATGTGGTCATGCCCTGAAAACATAAAGGAAAAGGATCGGCTCAATGGAGAGTGCCTGTGTCTCTAAATAGCATATGCTATTAGATGGAGACAAAGTAATATGTTGCACTTTCCCTCAAAAGAGTACAGAGTTAAGGTGCTAGAGCACTAAGAACAATTAATCACCAAATTCTGTCTTCAGATACCTGAGCACCTGAATTTAACATTAGATAAGAATTTGGCTCCAACAAAAATAAAAACAGGACCCCCACAGGGTCAAATTTTCAAAGGCTCTGGCAATGGGTGGTGTCATGCAAAGTGCATATGTAACACTATGCCTACAAAACCCTACATTTTCGCATGTGAACAGACATCTGCATGCACAAATCAGCTCAATATAATAATATTTTACTTCTGTAGCTGCTGCCAGAGGCACTTAAAGTCTGTGAAGTTCTTTAACACTCACATTTTTAAAATACCACTCAAAAAGGTGGATTGGGATATCCTTTCTGAGAACAGCACTAGCTAAACAGAGCTACTGTTGACCTTACTAGGTAAGTCATGACATGGTTTTAGAACTTGGTTCTAACACAATATCACTGTCAATATTAGGCAGGAAAACCATTCTAGAACCCTATTAATGACAACTGTGATTAAACATGGCTGTTATCATGGTTCCAACTGCAATGTGAGTAATAGTGGTGGGCTTCTGAGTACACACGGTGTGTCCCATATTTTTCTAATGGGAAACTGCAAACAATGTAACCAAAAGTGAAATGAAAGGTGAAGGATGGCAATGTCACTTAACTTTTGTTTTAACTTTATTGAAATATTATGTTACTCCTCAAGACACACACAATATTTAAAGGAAGATCTGGCAGAATATTTGAATCGTCAATTAAAAAATCTGAACTATCATAAGCAATATAAAACTCATTCAACCAATAGGAAACTTATTTTCAGTGGCAGAAAGACAAATTCAGCAACCAAGAATAATGAGAGCTTATCTCTCAAAGTTGGAATATTGCAAGTAAAAGTCACAAATGTCCTTATCTGAAATTGTTTCTGTGATATATGTAACGTTTCATATGATGATGCAAAATGCATTCTGAGTGTCGTGAGCCGACAAATACAGTAAGCAGATTCATCTGAAAAAATTTGCTCATCAAAGAGTTCCTGCAGGGCTTGACACTCTGTGGGCTGAGATCTAGTGGATATCAACCTAGTTACTGGCTATTTTGTGCCAGGATGTGGTATGCCTAATTTGCTGACACAGAAGATGTTGCCAAAGCAGTTCAACCCAACCCGTTAGCATTGGGAGACACCAAACACATTTCAGCCTATGTGACTGTGGTTTTGTCAATATTAGTAGTTTGCTAGTTGTCTTCCTGCATCGAAAAAGCCAATCATTTAGCCAGGTACTTATAAAAGCTCACCTTGAAAATTTGCTAGGACCCTCTCCATCTTCATCATCAAAGTCCATTCTGAAAAAGCAAAATTTTTGAATAAGTAATCGTTATTTAAGAAGCCAAGAGTTAAATTAAACATTCTGTCAACAAAAATCTGCACTGCTGCTATTTTCTTCTTAATTTTAAGTGAATGTAGTTCCTTTGAAGTGTGCTGGATTAGCAGCCCTCAGGCCTGATCCAAAGCCCACTGAAATCAATAGGAGTCTTTCCATGTATCTCAGTGACCTTCTTTGGGTCAGGCCGATATATAATGAAGTTCTCTGTTATCCACATAATACAGATGGGGGCAACAGTCATACAGACGGGGGCAACAGTCATACAGACTTCCCCGCACTATCCCGCCCACATGCTTTTGCCCAGGTCTGGAGAATTCACATGTAACAGTGAGAGGGAGCAACAGGTCAATCTCTACATCTAATTGTTTCTTGGCCTCTGCTAAAATTGGCTGCCAATTAGTCCCAAATGATTGTAACTGTGGTGATTTTTGGACTTGTCCGTTAGAAACCAAGATCACCAACTCATTTCACACAGGACGTCAGTCAGCCCTTAGATGCTGATGACTTTCAATCACTACAGACCTAGATTTAAATGAATTAGTGACTTTTAGCCACTACAAAGCCATGTAATAACACTATTACTTAAAACAGACAGCATTTTTACATCTCTATATTTCTATACTTTATAAAGGTTGGCAAGAATTGCTATACCAGCTTTACTGATGGGGAACCTTTGGCATAACGAGACACTAAGTGTCTGATTCTGATTGCACAATGATTTTACTGATGTAACCTTATTTACTCTAATAATCAGACCCGATTTACAAAAATGTAAGTGAGATTTGATTCAGGCCCTAAGTGTCTTATCCACGGTAGGTATTCCATTATCATTCCTTTCAATTAACAAATCAGAGTTTTATTTTTTTTTAATTCTTTTTATTAGGCAACACAAACACTTCTAAGTTTTCTAAAATTTCCGACTGCAATAAGACTTAAGGAAATTCTGGATTCCATACGCCCTCAAGTTTTTTATGATCATAAATGCAATAAGCTATAGCTATGGCAAAAGAAAACTGCAAAGACAATTTAGGTCTTCATATTAAAAAATGTTTCACTGAATTAAAAAAAAGATTTTTTAAATTAAAATATATATTAAAGAATAGTACTACACTGAGTTCTGGGCACAGAATAACTTCTTTGAAACTAAAAACCAAAATATAAATGATCAACTACACAATGTAAGCGCCAGACTCCATCAGTGTATATTACTTTACTTCTTAATTTTTATATAAATGACCAGATGCCCTCTAAAAGATTTCTTTGGATGGTAGTAATCTATGTACAAATGGAACAAAAACAGAAAATCATCACAAGAACTGAAAATCTCATTAGAAAAGACACATTAATACTTCCAGACAGTAAGAGAGATTGTTCATTTCTAAAGGAAGTGGTCAGGAAAACCACTTTCCTAAAAGGTCTCATAGAAAAAAAAATGTGGTTTTGTATTTAGTTTGATTGAAGTCTGATTTCATCATCGATGTTTCCACGGCAAATCATGTTGCGCTCTTCTGCTCATTACTAAGTTCTGTTTCAGAATCACTTTCTATATGATCAACAAGGAGTCCAGTGGCTACCCACAAAAGCTTATGCTCAAATAAATCTGTTAGTCTTTAAGGTGCCACCGGACTCCTTGCTGTTTTTGTGGATACAGACTAACACGGCTACCCCCTGATACTTTCTATATGTTGAATGGCCTTTCAGTTGTATTTTTGTGGAGCAACAGTGACCTCCAGTGGCCAGCGAGGCTAGTTGTACAGAGATATATACGGCTAATTCATGGCCAATCTACTCTTCCATAACAATGCTGTTTTCAGTAGGGGGCTCTCCAAATATTCTGAATTTGCTCAGACCAGCTGCATGGGAGATATTTCTAACAATGTACATGTTATCTTGTTGAAATTCTCCTGTGATCCTTGCCCCTGCAATTGATTGGGATAGCTCAGTGGTTTGAGCATTGGCCTGCTAATCCCAGGGTTGTGAGTTCAATCCTTGAGGGGGCCATTTAGGGATCTGGCAAAAATAAGGGATGGTACTTGGTCCTGCTGTGAAGGCAGGGGACGGGACTTGATGACCTTTCAAGGTCCCTTCCAGCTCTATGAGATAGATTTGGACACTTTCACCTACTTGGTGCCACTGAAGTCAAAAGTGCTCTTTACAGGCACAGGGGTCAATCTATGAAGATTCAATTGCAGGACCCTTGTCTATAAAGCAAATCCTTCCCTAACCTCACTGGCTTCTGAAGCGCAATGGAGAGAGTCAAGAGTTTACTGCAGGTGCTACACATCCCCTGCCCTGAAGGAAACCAGCTGGGGAGACCTGGATCGGGGCTGGAGGATGTGTAGCGCCTCCATCCTTCCCTGTGTGGAGAGGTATTAAAGGGGCTCTTTCCTTGATGGGGTTTGTCCAGATCCCAGCCAAAACACATGGGGTGGTGGGGGAGGGGAGTATTGAGAGCTGGATTTTCCCATGAGCATAACATCCCAGCTTTATTATGTTTGGTCCAGTTTATTATTATTGGAATATGCAACACTTGATAACAGTGTATTTAGGGCCTGGTCTTGCAGCCCTTACTCATGGGACTCATCCCAATGGAATAAGTGAAACTAGTCATGCAAGTATTTATCCAGCTAGATAGAGCTGAGTTTCTTAAACTGAAAACTCTTTGGAGTTAAGACTGCCAGTCAGTCATATGTACAGACAGCACCTACCACATTGTGTGGGCGACTGGAATGCAAATAGAAAATAAATCTAGACATTTATACCATGCGTATCTAAGTGCCTAGAACTGTTAAACAGGCTTTAACATACTGGACTTTAATATATACTTATCACTTTGTTAGGCTACACTGTAATTGCATTTTTATTACAAATGTAAAACAATGCTTTTTTTAAAAATAAGGACTTAAACTAACTTCATAGAACATTTGTAAAAATGCTGCACAAAATTAATGTCAGCTCTGGTCTTTGTTTTTAAGACAAAAAAAAGGAAGAAGTGGAAAGCAGAGATATGTTAATTATATGACATGGAAAAACTCAGATCATCTTGAAAAACAAACCCAGTGGGTTTAAAAGTAAGAGATGCTAACTGGTTGCCTTCCACTAATATATATGGTTTAAAATGAGGCAGAACCCAGAAGGATGAGGAATCAGTTTTAACCTTTAGCATTACACAGCACAGCATGTAAAAAAATATTCCAACAAACTCACCTTACCCCAACAGATAAGATCCTCTATTCAGAAAGAGTAAATTGCATGTCAGCAATACCACAGAAGTAACTTCCCAGAAGACAAATGACATCATTTCAGAAACAATACCTTTTGTCTTCACTTAAAATTCCCATTTTAAAAAGGAACTAAAAATATGCTATCCTGGGCTCTCATACTGAAGAGAGAAGAATAAATCTTGTTTTCTTCTTTCACACAGTATTCAGGTGTTGTGAAAAGGCCAGATAGTAATAATTATATTTATAAAGTGCCCCATGCAAAAGCTTTCTTGGGTGCCATAAATAATATACGAATTATGAAATATGGTAACATTTTAAGTTAAAAACACGTTCAAGCAAGAAACAAAAAAGGAGATGGGGGCAGGTTGAGTGGGAAAGATGGGAGAAAATGGATTTTAGGTAATGTTTAAAAATTGGGGAGATGGTTTGAGGTAGCTATTCATGAGGGTGCAGGCAGAAAACGAGTTCCACACCCTAGGGCCCATCATAGCAAAGGCAAAAACACTTGCTGACCTAAGGCCAAAAATCAATGGAGCCCTAAAAGAAATAGATACCCAGCCAAAAAAAACCCAGAAGAGGCCTGAAATATAGCCAGTGCCTACACTGATAAGGGCTTTAAAAATCAGCATAAGCAACAAAAATAAATTTAAATAAGTCTACATACTCTTACTGCCCTCATCAATGGAATATCTTACGCATTTGTACCTTTTTTTCTTCCCCACAAAACGTTTGGCACAATCCACAGAGAGGAAAAACGTATTTCCTAGCTGCTGATGGAATGGAATCCTTACCTTGCAGAAACACCTTCTGGACAGACAATGAGCTTAACCTGGCACATATTTAAGCCTGTACAACAATTATTTTGCCAGAGTGCATCAGCAATTATAAGCAAAAAACAATTTTCAAAAAGATACCAAAGTTGGGAAAGAAAGCCATATTGCTGGCTGCATTCCTTTGTGTTTGATCAGAAGCATTCATTTCTAAAGTGCCCAAGGAGTTAAGTGTACAAAGATGCATCACCAGGGGAGTAAGGAAAGGACTAAATGCTTGTTACAGCTTTGTTCAAAGAGAAAGTACAATGCATTAGACACAGCAGGCAGACATACCAGGCATTCTTTCCCTGGAGGTCTGAATACATAGACTGAATAAAATGCTTTCTCTCCACCACCTTAAGGAGGGCTTTCTAATCTAGAACTAAGATTCACTGATACAAAAGTGCCCTCTGTACAGCAGCAAACCTACACTATCTAATTCAGAGAATTTTTAAATTAAATACATTTTTAAATAACTCACTTTTACCACCACCCCCCATCTCATTCTCCTGCATATAAAAGATACTTAGAATCATAGAATATCAGGGTTGGAAGGGACCCCAGAAGGTCATCTAGTCCAACCCCCTGCTCGAAGCAGGACCAATTCCCAGTTAAATCATCCCAGCCAGGGCTTTGTCAAGCCTGACCTTAAAAACCTCTAAGGAAGGAGATTCTACCACCTCCCTAGGTAACGCATTCCAGGGTTTCACCACCCTCTTAATGAAAAAGTTTTTCCTAATATCCAATCTAAACCTCCCCCACTGCAACTTGAGACCATTACTCCTCGTTCTGTCATCTGCTACCATTGAGAACAGTCTAGAGCCATCCTCTTTGGAACCCCCTTTCAGGTAGTTGAAAGCAGCTATCAAATCCCCCCTCATTCTTCTCTTCTGCAGGCTAAACAATCCCAGCTCCCTCAGCCTCTCCTCATAAGTCATGTGTTCCAGACCCCTAATCATTTTTGTTGCCCTTCGCTGGACTCTCTCCAATTTGTCCACATCCTTCTTGTAGTGTGGGGCCCAAAACTGGACACAGTACTCCAGATGAGGCCTCACCAATGTCGAATAGAGGGGAACGATCACGTCCCTCGATCTGCTCGCTATGCCCCTACTTATACATCCCAAAATGCCATTGGCCTTCTTGGCAACAAGGGCACACTGCTGACTCATATCCAGCTTCTCGTCCACTGTCACCCCTAGGTCCTTTTCCGCAGAACTGCTGCCTAGCTGCTCAGTCCCTAGTCTGTAGCTGTGCATTGGGTTCTTCCGTCCTAAGTGCAGGACCCTGCACTTATCCTTATTGAACCTCATCAGATTTCTTTTGGCCCAATCCTCCAATTTGTCTAGGTCCTTCTGTATCCTATCCCTCCCCTCCAGCGTATCTACCACTCCTCCCAGTTTAGTATCATCCGCAAATTTGCTGAGAGTGCAATCCACACCATCCTCCAGATCATTTATGAAGATATTGAACAAAACCGGCCCCAGGACCGACCCTTGGGGCACTCCACTTGATACCGGCTGCCAACTAGACATGGAGCCATTGATAACTACCCGTTGAGCCCGACAATCTAGCCAGCTTTCTACCCACCTTATAGTGCATTCATCCAGCCCATACTTCCTTAACTTGCTGACAAGAATACTGTGGGAGACCGTGTCAAAAGCTTTGCTAAAGTCAAGAAACAATACATCCACTGCTTTCCCTTCATCCACAGAACCAGTAATCTCATCATAAAAGGCGATTAGATTAGTCAGGCATGACCTTCCCTTGGTGAATCCATGCTGGCTGTTCCTGATCACTTTCCTCTCATGCAAGTGCTTCAGGATTGATTCTTTGAGGACCTGCTCCATGATTTTTCCAGGGACTGAGGTGAGGCTGACTGGCCTGTAGTTCCCAGGATCCTCCTTCTTCCCTTTTTTAAAGATTGGCACTATATTAGCCTTTTTCCAGTCATCCGGGACTTCCCCGGTTCGCCACGAGTTTTCAAAGATAATGGCCAATGGCTCTGCAATCACAGCCGCCAATTCCTTCAGCACTCTCGGATGCTACTCGTCCGGCCCCATGGACTTGTGCATGTCCAGCTTTTCTAAATAGTCCCTAACCACCTCTATCTCCACAGAGGGCTGGCCATCTCTTCCCCATTTTGTGATGCCCAGCGCAGCAGTCTGGGAGCTGACCTTGTTAGTGAAAACAGAGGCAAAAAAAGCCTCTTACAATATACTTTAAATGTACTTTACAATATACTTTAAATAGTTCTAAATATACTTACAATGGTATATTTAAAACTCAGGACCACAACATTTTGATTTAACTTTCAAGTCAATATTTTGTATAACCAGCAAACTTCACATTTAGCAACATCAATGCTTGGCAGTCACTACTTAGTAATTAGTATTAGCAGCTGACCTGGCTGTTGCTCAGCAGTGAGATCATTTGTCTGGTCACGTAAGAGTCCAAGACTTAAAGTTAGACTCTTTGTAAAGTAGCCATTAAAAAGATGTTAAAGCTTTCTCTTTTTTTCATGGATTCCAAGGTCAGAAGGGACCACTGTGATTATCTAGTCTGACCTCCTGTAGATGCAAGCCATATGGAACTTCCCCAAAATAAGTCCTAAGAGCAGATCCTTTAGAAAAATATGCAATCTTGATTTTAAATTTGTTTTTAGCATAAGCTTAAAAAGGCTTTTGTGTTCAACAGTTTTAACACAAAATGTAGCTTTTTCAAAAGAGATAGTTCATGATTTAATAAGATCAACTGTATACAGTTAGTTCAGCATGTGGAAGCCCACTTCAGAGGTAAAGCAGACCAAAGGAACATATCACACCAGCGCTCCACACGCCTCATCTGGCTGCCAATTTAATTCCAGGTCTAAGACACAGTCCAGATCCTCCTGTTTTTATTCACATATGTAGTGGGACCAGCCGTCCTAGCTACTGTCTCTTGTATTCCCCTAGAAGACCATTAAAATTGACAGAACACTTTGGCTGGCAATCACAAGAGGAGAACTCACAGGAATTGGGTCAGGGTTCTCTCAGTGAATCCTCCTCAGTTGAACGATCTTTACTCTTGATGAGCCCTGTTATGGCCATATTTAGGGGCAAATGTAAGACAGACCCATCTGCGTGCGTATATGCCTTCCCCTAACAGAATAGTGAAATCTCCAGAAAAGCGATCTCCTGACCACCATCTGGATTTCATCTGCCTATGAAAGCAGTTATTTCTAGGGAAGAAAGCGTTTTTCCCCTGTGAAACCCTGAGGTACTTCTACTCCAAGTTGAGGACACTCTGATATTACAATGAGAGAGGCCACAGAACTACATGTGATTAAAAAAAATATATATTGTCCTGCTTACGGACACAATGTGAGGAATAAGCAAAAATGGTCTGGATAAAATAAGAATTTCCTCTCCCCCAGCAAAACCTCCAGCCATGTTAAGAAAGGAAACTTGAACCAAACCTCTCTCAGATACTAAGACATTTTAACTTCTGGTTTCCAATCAGGCCCAGGATATGACAAGCCAAAATACCTTAAGAGAGGCTGTAGTTATGGTTTCTGCACCTACGGCAGAAAATGGAAATACTGTATTAGAAATTTAAGTAGAAAATATGTAGTTGGGAGATTCCAAGCCCAATTTTCAGACCGAGCAGGTTTGGATAAATTTCCTTATGCAACTAGAATCACATCTTGCTCCACTTATTCGCATGAGACCTCTCACTGAGACCAGTGGGATTACTCATCTGAGCAAATGTAATGTGCTTACATTGGTTTCAAGACCACATCCCTGAATTTTGGATGCTTAGCCAATCCATAACGCCATAACCTTCTGAGGCTTGCCCATCACTAAACAAAATACACACACAGCAGCAAGTTCAGTCTTACAACATACATGGTGAAAAGAAAACCAAAACACAACTAGCCAGTGTTGTGACGCATATTAGTACATGTATGCATTTAATTTATGAATGCAAATTGTTTTCAGTTTCACCACTGATAAAATGAAATAACTTACCCAGAACGCCTCTTTCCTCCTCTAGCAGGCATGGATCCTGCCATTCTCACCTGTCCTGTTGCCATAGGTGCAACTGGCAATGTCACTGATCCAGGAATATCTGAAGCCATTTCTGTAATACAGAATGAAAATCATGTTATCCACTATGAAAGGTAATGATGTACAGAAGGCTCTTTTAAAAACACTCAGTGCAGAGTGATCTTTCCTTTTATTTCTAAAAGAAGACAAATTTATCCTTTGTGATTTAAAAGGACTGTACAAATGATGGCAAATTCATTACACTCTTGAAATAGCTTCAGTTTTGTCAATAGATATCCTGAGTGCAATTGGAGAGAGACACAATCACAGCATACACAACTTCCTGTGTATTTCTTTTACGTATTAGCTCACTGTACTTTTGTTCCCTACTGTACAGAAGCTGCCAATGAAGCCTAGCAGTCTTTCACAACACCTAAAAAATACCCTGCAAGGAAGCATATCAATGCAGAACTACTGAAATTAATTAGGTGCTGGGGCATAATTTATCCAGATCAGGCAAAATTTTAAAATATATTCAAATGCAATATTAAAAAGTATGACAAACCCTATATGCTGGTAATTGTGGGTAGCAATGAGGTCTAGTGGCTAGAGCAGGAGATTGGGCCTCAGGAGATGTTATTTACATTCTGGTAGCATTTAGAGACCCTAATCAGAATTCATATCCCAATATGCAAGGTGCTAGGAAGAGTTTACACTCTAGGCTCTTATTCACATCTCTGTCAGTGCCTCGGTGTGTGACGTCAGGCTAATCCGATCTCTATGCCATGCTTTTCCAATCTGTAAAATGGGGATATCAACACTCACCTTAGTTGTTGAGATCACAGAACTAAAAGGCATTTTTATTATCCAAAGACAGCAACTGGATGGGAAACATTTTATTATACTTCAGAATGAAATACACTCTAGAAAAACAGAACAATGTAGTTCTTTCCCTTCTTTCTATCCCATAGATTAAGTATATGTATGGACTTTGTGGAATCATTATATAGGATTTAAGAAATGAAAAGTCTCTCTCCCTCTAAAGCATAGAGATTTCACAGACCATTTGCTGTAGCATGTGGCTGAGATACTACCAACCAAAGATCACAATGTCTAGTGGTCACAAAACAAAAACCCAAAAATGTTTTGTTAAACTGTACAAGGATTGTGCAAACGGGATGTATATTATTACTATTCCCCTCCCCCAAAACAGCTGGTAGGCTGGAGCTTGTGGAAGGATGGAGAGGAATCTGCTGAGAGTGAGCACACATGAAGAGAAAAAAAAAAAGAGACTGGATGATGAAAAAAAAGTGTTCTCCTTCACATACACATACAGCATCTCATTACCCCGCCCCGCCCCCGCCAATGCATTCTCCTCCAAACTTCAACCCTAAATATTAATTCCGGTATTTTAAAATGTTGTGGGGTTTGTTTTTTTTAAATATCATTTAGAACCACACATATCAGGGTTGGCAAAGGCATCTTTGGTCACCTGGTCCATCCCTGGCAGCAACATTTTTAAGGTCTTCAGTGGAAGTTTATTGATTAGGGGAACAGGGATTGAGGGTTGTTCCCATTTTTCATTACTCAGTGCCATAGCCACGATGTTCCGTAACAGAGTGAGAACCAAACCAGTAACTCTAGAGGTGAAACCAGGGGCTTCTAAGGAGGTGAGCATAAGGAAGGTGTCAGAGCTGCTATGCTGCCTCCACTCCACAAATGGATCCCATTAGACTGAGCAGCCTACACCAGCTTCAGGGACATGCCATAAGTCAACCCTAAAACAGAGAAGAATCTGGGCCTATGAAAGTTTCTTAACAGAAAACAAATTATTCGAGAAATCCCGTTATTTTTCTCAACAGACTAGCACAAAAACCCAACTGTGACAGGGAAGCAGAAACCCACTCTCTTTCAACAGCATTTTCTTTCATGTTTGGAGAGCACTTCATTCCTGACATATTTTATTCAAATCCATTATTCAATAAATGTACATTTTGAGTCCCATTGTTTCCATTCACTGCTGCTAGGAATTTCTTCTAGCACATTTATTTTATTAGCTGAACTTCTTTTCAGCCAAGAAGCAACAGAGCAGAGAACGTAAAACAATATGCTTCAAAAATGCATTCAACGATTAAAACAAACAAACAAAAAAGATGTGTCTACAGTGTCATAAGACAGACATAGTAGAGTTACACAAGAACGGAAACATAAAAGCTAAACTGCTATTTCTGAAAATAAGTTATCTTTGAAATATACTGACAATCACCTCACATTTGAAACATATAGCTGAAAGTCATCTTCAGTTGCTCTGCTGATTCGTTTGTTAAAGCAGCTTTTAAAACACTAATAAGTATGCTTTTACAGTGTGTTTCTCACTAAGAGAAACACTGAAATACACACCACTAAGAGGACTGCTCTTTTAACCAGCATGCAGCCCTAGAGCAAAAAGGGATATTTTAACAGAATTTCAAATAAATCCAAAAGTGTCCTTTATTATTTTTTAATACCAGAAAAGAAACATGAACACTCATTTGTGATGAGGCGTTTGTACAGCACTATTTTCCTTCGATACAAAATAAAGCACATACAGTACCTTCAAATGACGTGTTGAAGGTAAGAGGGTCAGAATGGACTCAGCACATTAGACCCCAAAAGAGTCTAAAATTTATAGAATAAGTATCATCTAATGAATGGTCTTTCTACTAACAAGAAAGGGGGTGGGAGGGATAGCTCAGTGGTTTGAGCATTGGCCTGCTAAACCCAGGGTTAAGAGCTCAATCCTTGAGGGGGCCATTTAGGGATCAGGGCAAAAATTGGGGATTGGTCCTGCTTTGAGTAGGGGGTTGGACTAGATGACCTCCTAAGGTCCCTTCCAACCCTGATATTCTATGAAATGCACTTGCCACTGCTCCAACAGTACATTCCACCCTTGACAGCATTCCAAACAGCTCACCTTGCTTATTCAAGGAGTCCCACTGACTATAGTGGATTACACATGTGAAAAAAATCAGCAGTAATTGCCCCTCATGAAAAGAAAAGGAGTTCTTGTGGCACCTTAGAGACTAACCAATTTATTTGAGCATGAGCTTTCGTGAGCTACAGCTCACTTCATCAGATGTAGCTCACGAAAGCTTATGCTCAAATAAATTGGTTAGTCTCTAAGGTGCCACAAGTACTCCTTTTCTTTTTGCAAATACAGACTAACACGGCTGTTACTCTGAAATTTGTCTCTTCTGCCTATCACCACACAGGAATACATTCAGAAATGTAAGGCAAGGACAATCTACATGGCCTTGAAGTCTCCAGCATGGTGAACTTGTCCCACTCAGCTCAGGTGGTAGAAATTCATCAAGCAGCATGGCCTTTTGCGGGCATCTTGATCATCCGTTAATAATACATGATTTTAACCAAATGACTTTAAGGCATGACAGGTAGAGACCTGTATTTCAGGTCTTTGAAATGAACATCTATTTGTCCTTCTAAAGAGCTATGTACAATGGAGATTAACCCTAGTGGCTACCTTTTCATCCAAATATTGAATCCTTTCCAAGGGAAAGAAAAAAAAAAAAGGAGAGATTTGGTTAGAAGTTAGGCACAATCATGGACTCGTTCATATAGAAGTCCAAAACCAGTTGAAAGAGGAATTCCTGAAGCACCTGAAACTCACATCCATCCAGGAAAAACAGTAAGAACAGAGCCTTGCTCACTAGGAAGATTAAATCTCCAACAAGACACACCAAAGAGCTACTTCCAGAGTCAACAGATTTCATGTAATTTTTCATGCATGTCCTCAAGAAACTATGAGCATGGAAAGCAAAAGCCCATCAAACCCCAGAAAGTCAATATACCAAAACTGAAAACTTAGAGGGGAGTTTCAGGCCCCTCATAAAAACAACTCAAATAAACCTGCTGTAGGGAACAGCTTGTGGACAGGATATGCTTGCATGCATAGCAATACAGCATTATACACACACAAAACATTGTGACATTGACCCCGGACTTCACCATGGCTCTAGAATGCAGGATGCATCATAGCTTAAAGCAGCTCGCTGTCCAATACTCAATTCCTTCCCTAAATACCCATGGCGAGTTCTGCAGATCTTGAATTCTGGGGGACGGTAAGGTCTAGCTGTCCAGCTGTATAACAAATGCAGTGACGGTAGCACTTCTAAGGGCCGTGACTGGGATATCAAACACACCTCAGAGGGGAGCTTTCACTACCTAATGACAGCATCATTACTATACAGGGTTAACTAATCTAACAAGGGGGCACTACTACTGAGTCACAATATCCTGCGGAGCGAAGGCTACATTGCTGAGATCAGGTTCTCCCCCAAAAATATGCACTCCAGATTCTGACTGTGCGGAAAATCCACCCAGAATGTGGCCAGACTATACGTTATAGATTCCAGGGAGTCTGACTAGGAAACTGGTTCAGATTTGAACTCCTTTTCAAAGCAGTTATCTCCATCCTGACTTGCCAACAGTCACCCTGCAGGATCAGAGCCTCAATATAATTTCTCCTTCACATGCTAGAAAGCAGATCCTAGAGCTCCGTGGGGAGCAGGGTGATTAGAAGTTGGATGGATCAGAGAAGCAGAGGACAGAAACATGCAGCCTCACAGAATGAGGTACTTGTCTGTGGAAGTCACAGTCACAAGGAAAATGTGACTGGACAGCCTGCTTTCTCTGAGGCTGGACCTGCTGGCACTGAAGGACACCAGAGATGAAGCTAACAGGCTCAGAGAGGTCTACATAGTACTGTACTAAGGGAAACCTACAGACATAGAATAGAAATGATGTGACAATCAGGCCACAAGAAGTACTGCTGCCAGGAGCCCTCTGCTGTATGGAAGAGGGAGTGCAGCAGAAAAAAAGGACACCAGAAAATCAGAAGGGGATACCCGCCAGTGATCTAAATTACATTAGTATAAACAGGGAGCAGCTCCATGGGGGTAAACTGAGTTATTTTGGTGTAATAAAACCAAAGCCTGAAAGTGCATGGGCAGTTATAGCATTGGTTGTGAAAAAAACGGTTACCCATTTTTTTGGAACTGTTCATGTCCATTCCATTCTAGGACGCGGGCATTCTAC